GCCTCCCCAGGAGGCCCGCAGCTGTCTCGGTGTAGGCTCTGATAGTATTCTGGTGGACAGATCCACAGACTTCAGGGATGCTGGTGATAGTTCTACCTTGGGTGGTGCCTTTTTAAAGTTTATTTTTTGCTTATGTTTTTAGTGATTTTTTTTCCTTATTGCAAAAGCCACGCGTTCAAAATAGAACATTTAAGAAATAAAGTCAAGAAAATAAAATTTACCAGTGATCCAACCGCATGAGATAACCATTAATGCTTTTGTATGTATCTTTTGTCTTTTTTCCTGTTCATGTATATGTATATATATATATCTTTACCAAAATGGACTCCTGTTCTACATACTATTTAGAAACCTACTTTTCCCTTGAACAGTCTGTCGTAGACGTTTGCCAAGTCACCAGCTGCATACTTTTATGGGATATTTAATGTCAAGTGTTACATTCTGAATGACATTGTATAAACCATATTGTCCTTGCCCAGCAAAGTTTCTATGCTTTTAAATTTTTTGTCATAGGGTTTTCTGGCATCTGATTGCATTTTGCAGACTGTGTTTTTTTTTTTCTACTTCTTTTTTGATCTTTAAAAAAAATGTTAATGAACCATTTCAGACAACTGAAAGGATATAAAGGGTAATACGAGGAACACCCCTGTATTCACCATCCAGCTTCAGAAATAAAACATTATGCAGTTTTAGCCCGTCTCCCCCAGCCTCCCGCCGCACAGAGGTGGTCCTTATCCTGAGTCACATGTGGTTTTCAGCATCTTGCTGGCTGTGAGCTCAGGATCCACATCTCCACAAGTTTCCTCTTGGGACCTCATCTCCACCCCACATGCAGCCCTGAGCCTCTGCCAGTGAGATGAGCAGTCCTGGGGATGAGCATCCTCTGAATGTTCTCATTCCCTCCCTGTCTCCTGTCCATCATGAGCCTTCGAACTCTTGACCTCAACACAGACCAGTGGGGAAGTGTGTCATTGCTCTGAATGACAAATCAGCCAAGTACTGCCCATCTCAGGAATGAGTAGGTCCTCGCCTGGACAGAAGAAGAGTGGGTAAAGAGCTCGCGTAACAGAGAGGTTCAGGCAGGGAGAAGTTGGGTGAGCAGTGGGCTCTCAGAGGGCAGGACTGCCTTTCCCCTCTCTCACCAGGCCCAGCAAAGAGCATGTGTGATCAGGTGGGGAAGAGAGGCCAGGAGCAGGTAGGGGGCTAAGTGTGTGCTGCTCTGGAGCCCCTAGAGTCATTCCAGGGCCTCTTTTGTGACAAATTGAAAGTATTTCCATAATTGAACTGTAATGCTGAACTTCTTCTCTGCTGCTGACAAAAGACCTTACACATACCCTCTTGCTCTATTCTGCTCCGCCCATCATCTCCCTGAACGTGCTGGCTATCTGCAGCCCTTGTCCCCCAGGGCTAGTGCTCCCCTTCCCAGGTGCCCCTCTCCTGCCCACCGTCCACCAGGATTCTCCTCACCCTCCAGGCGCAAGTTCCTCCTGGAATTCCCACCTCATCCCTCCCACTCCCCTCAAGCTCCTGACACACCAGTGGCTGAGCCTCCCCCCAGGTGGTCAGCCTTGGCTACCTTATTGTGTCTGTGCATCTGTGTCTCTGTCCACCTACCAGCTGTTGGAGGCCCCATCACTTCTTTGTACTTCCCACCGTGCTCAGCACAGTATACACTTTCAGGAGAGAGTTGTTAGTTGATTTAGCTTTGCAGTTTCCTTAGCTGGAATCTTTATCCTCTGTGGTCATTTTCTTAGTAAAAGACAAATCCACAGCTCCCTTGCACTCTCAGCATTTAAAGATTTTTCTGTTTCTTCTGTGGCTTTTCCCTTCCCAGAATTCTTTTGTAGGAAAGGTTCTGACTCCCAGACCTCATCCTCTATGCTGGGAGCCCTTCACATGGCCTGTTAGAGTCCATCAGCCCCACCCTGGGGAGACCAAGGATGCCCTGTCAGCCGTTAGATCCCACCTGTCCACCCTAATAAATCACACTCTCACTTACTCTCCACCATTTGGGGACTTTGGGGTGGCTGAGTTCTGTTTGACTGAGTTCTGGTTGTGGTGTCTTGTGGATGTCCACTAAGGAGGCACAGAGCCAGGTGTCACATAGACCAGTCCCATTCCATACTGTGATGTGTCCCAGTGTCAGGCCAAATTCTTGTTTGGGAGCTGGGCCAGGCAGGTAGAGTTACCCAGAATGCATCCTTGGCCACTTTTTTTGTTCTGCACGCCTTCACTACTCCTTTCACCCCTTTGCCAGCAGCTGCACCCCTTTACCTCTGGCTGTGTGTTCATAATGTGTCCCAGGCCAGGGGCTCTGCTGCAGAACAAGGCAGACCCAGTCATGGAGCTTCTGGTCCACCACAGTAGTTCTCAGCTCTGGCTGAGTAACAGATGCCACTGGAGGTTTTTTAAAATGCAGGTGTCTGGGCCCCACCCCCTAATGGTCTTTGTATCTTAAGACTCCATTGGAGTTAGACATCAGTATTTGTTTAAAGCTTCAGAGTTGACTCTACCCCACAGCCAAGAATTGAGGCTACCATATATTGAGTACATTCTCTGTGGCTAGCATCATCTAGCCCCTTTTGCAGGTTGTCTAGTTTAACCATCACAGTGACTCTGGATTTTAGATAAGATTGGTCCAGGTCCACTGGTGAGGAAACTAAAGCCCAGAGAGGCCAACGTGCCCACAGGCACACCTCTCACAAATGTAGAACTCAGACGTAAACCAGGGTCAGTAGACTTCCGAGCCACCCTCTTAATCCTTGTGCTGTGCCACAACTGCTCTTCTCTCATGCTGCTTGGACCCATATGTCCAGCCACCTGCTGGACACCTCCTCCTGGGTGTCCGCAGCATACCTTGGCTGAACTGGTCAGCCCCTCCCCAGAACCTGCAGGTCAACTCTCTTAATAACGTAAGGTCACCACCATTTACCCAGCTGCTAAAAATGGAAACCTGAATTGTACTATTTCCTCCTTTTTTTCACCCCGTCCACTACCACAATATTCTCTGGTTCCACTTTTTGTCTTGATCTCTGAATTGCCTATCCAATTCTTCTCCTCCAGCCTCAGAGTTCAGTAACCCCCTATCTGGCCTGGGATTTTAATCTCTTCCTCTTCTTATCTGATCCACTCAGTACAGGCAGCTGAGTTCTCTTCTAAATCATTGCTATTACCTGATGGCTCTGGGCTGCCTGTAAAGAAACATCCCAGCCCAACCTTTAGGCCTGGCATCCAGTGCTTTTCACAGACCAGCCCCAGCCCGTCTGCTCTGCTGACACTATGTACCCTCAGCGTGGCCACGCTGATTTTCTCAACGTGTCCCAAATATGCCGTGCTCACTTCCATCTGTTTGCTTTACCTATGCTGCTCCTCTGGCTGGAATCCCCTTTTCCCCACGGGTCTACCTGGTAGATCTTCATATTCTTCAGGACAACCCTCAAACATCACTTCTTCAAACTTCTCTGACTCCCCAGAGTAGTTGGTTGCTGCCTTCTCTGTGCTTCCTCAACACAGATGTGTTCTACAGCATGTAGCCCCTTTTACTGGAATTGTTTGTCACTCTCCAAAAGACTGTGAGCCCCCTGGGAGCAGAGACTTTGTTTTATTCCTGAATCCCTAGCAATGAATGAGCACATGGAAGCACAGGCTCAGGACTGAGTAGGCATCTGGTGAATGTTGGTTATTGAGACCCTGCATAGGCCTATGCACTGCCTTTTTCTTCTCTTTGGACAGGTGCATGGTCAGAGCAGACTCTGTGACATTTTTGCTCTGCTGTTGGCTCCATCAAAAGTGTGGACACTTAGAATGTTTACATTTTGATCAGAAATTCTATAGAAGAATTCTGATCAGAAGGGGGAAAATGCAGAACAGAATTTTAAGTTCTCATGGAATCTAGACTTTCTGGACCCATGGAGGTGCTGGATAAACTGCTGAAACTATTGCCCTGAGATAATCTTTATTTATTTATTTATTTATTTTGCCCTGAGATAATCTTTAAACCTTAAACCAAAAATATCCCCTAGTCTTCTTAAAACCAAACAGCAGTTTAGCTTAACTAGTAAACAATATCTGCCTTGAGCATTGTGCTCTTTTAAGAAGTATCTATATGGGATCAAATTGACAACAGGAGCTCAAAAGATTAGATAGGAAGCTTAGGGGGCAGTGAGTTTATGTTAATGGGAAGGAACAACTCTGAAAAGGAGGGTGAGAATGGGTACACAACTTGAAGAATGTAATCAATGTCACTGAATTGTACATGTAGAAATTGCTGAATTGGTGTATGTTCTGCTGTGTGTATTCTCAACAACAACAACAAAAATAAAATATTTTTTTAAAAATTGTAGCCAGAATACAAATGCAAAGTCATCACAAGCATACTAGAAGGGTTGGATAGCAAATCAGGAATGTTCTGGTCAGTAGATCAGTTGCTGGTGATTCACGAAGAACTAAATACAGATCACTAATCCTTCATAACAAATAGTACTGGTAAAAAGAAAATAAATAAAACTTGATTACAATTTAAACAGAACCCATTAAAATTTAGAGCTGTAAATTTTGATCTGGGAGAACTGGACATGGTAGATAAGTTACTCACCAGTGAAAACTCACAAAGGCATAAGCTGTTACAGGAAATTTGATAGAGACCAAAAAATAGCTGGGGAGTCAAATCTTCATTGTAATATTTATTTAGGAATAAATGGGTTCAATGAAAACAACTTTGGTAAAATGAAAATGGAAAATAATTGGGAACAATTGAACTGTTCTGTGTAGAAAATTAATCAAGGGGGTTAATGTGGCCTAGTGGCGTTTTCTCAGGGAAATTCTTTGTCAATAAATATCCATCAGTGTTGTCATAATCCTGAAGAGCCCACATGTTGTTGGGATCAGTATGTCCTGTCGCTGTGTCTGTGGTTGCTGCTTTCAAATGACTGTCTCCACTGTGGAACATTAGAGCTCGTGGAACCCCAGTCTAACCCTGATGCCTTTCCTCTTTCTTGCAGGGGGCAGTGCCCAAAGGAAATGCCACTAAAGAATTCATCGAGAGTTTACAGCTGAAACCTGGGCAGGTGGTATACAAGTGTCCCAAGTGCTGCAGCATCAAGCCTGACCGGGCCCACCACTGCAGGTACAGCCCATCTGGGCTCACCTCCTCCCCCTTCCCCACCTCCAGCCCCTTCTCCTCCTCCTGTGCTCTGGAGGAGTGCACATCTCCCCCACAGGTGCCCAGTCAGCAACAGGACCTTGAGCCTCCCCTGCTCTGGGCACAGAGTGACTCTGAGTCTCCCTCCAGTCCCAGTAAGCACATTAGATTGGACAGGGCTTTCAGTTTGGGGTTAAGACTCTGCCACACGTGATGTGGGACCTTGGGCAGGCCCTTGCCTCTGCCTTTGTTTCCATGTCTGTAAAAATGAGGCACTTCCTGCTCTTCCGGCCTCACAGCTTTATTACAAAGTCGCTATGAGAGAAAACTTTAGAAAATTGTGAATGTCTAGTACCTTACACATCCAAGAGGTTGGCTTTATTCTGTTTTACAGATAAATGAAGGAGTTGTGCTTGAATGAAGGCTTTTCTTTTAAAACAAAACAAAACTTCTAGAGGTTGTGACAGTGCATGGAATTCAGCCAAAAAAGCTATCTCCCTATCTTATCTGTGGTGATTTTTCTTTTTTTGGTTTTGAGGTTTCTTTGTTCTTTTGAGTCTTCTTGACTAGAAGACTTCTAGCTATATTGCACTTTATCATTACAAGGGTAACTTGAAATGCTAAATTATGGAAATACAAAAATGTCACTTCATCCCTGTTTCAGACTGGTTTGTGTTTGGAGTGGGAGAGGTTGTGGGGGAATGAACTTGCTCCCGATGTTGGGAGGACACACTCATCAGTCTGAGGCTGGGGAGCCATTGGGCTGTGGCAGAGAGTGGTGCCTCTGAAGGGTGGCATTTCTGTGTGGGCCTCACTGCCCACCTGTCGGAGGAGAGCAGTCTCAGCAGCCAGATTCCATAGACGGGTCTTAAGTACCTGGTCTATCCCAGGCACCTCCAATCCTATCTCATCGTCAGTCAGTTTATTTAAGTCCCCATGGTCACCCCAGTAGATAGGTTTTGCTATAGGAAAGCTTCTCCCTAGATGAGGAAATTAGGGCTCAAAAGGGTTAAGTGATGTCTCCAAGGTGACACAGCTGGTGAGTACTAGGGACAGGATTAGGTCCTGGTGGTTTTGGCTCTAAGTCCAGGGCTCCTTCCACGAGAAGTCCAGTTTGGGGGTGACTCTTGTAACTTTATATGATTGTGTGTATGTGTTTGTCCATCTTCCTGTCTGTCAGAGAGAGACCTGGAGATCTCCCCAGATAAATGCCACCTGCTTGAGAGTGAGGGGGAGGAGTCCACCTCCTTGGGTGGTCTGCTTCATCTAACTTGGGCAGGCACCTGGGGTGATTGCTGTCTCCTTGATGTTTTCTGTCTGTGGGTCAACTTGCTTCTCAGATCTGTGTTGGAAACTAAGTCAAGAACTGCTCCTTGCGCCTGAGATGGAGATGTCAGTATAGTCTCTTCCTGCCACCCAAGGCTTGGGAGCCAGCTGCTTTCTAAGCATCACTTGAGTAAAAAGGCCCAGCATGCTTATGTGATTTCTTGGGCAGCTCAGTGGAGTGGAGCAGGCTCCAGCCTTGAAACTGGAGAGGTTGGCATGGGAAGTCCAGTGCTGTCTCGGCCACACCATGGGAGCTTGGGCCAGTCCCTGTACCTCTTAAAATGGTGAAATGAGGGTTGTTCCTCTCTTGGTTGTTGCAAGGGTTAAATATGAATAACTGTAAGTCACCTAGCTCAACAAGTGGGAGCTCTTTGTTGATAGAGAAATGTGTGAGGAATTGGGGAGATGTTGGGTTTGTAAAGGTTGGACCAAAATAGGAGGTGTTCACTTTGTAGACAAGGACTTCTGGGGCACCCACAATGGTTCTTTTCTCTTCCCGGCCTGAGCCCTCAGCCGCCTCCACTGCTTGGCATTTTCCTCACCGCCTGCTTCTCGCCTCTTTCCTCAGGGTGATCCAAGGGAAGTATTCTTGAGTGCTAGTAAACAAATCAGCTTGAGCAAAGCAAGAGCTACTGATTCAGATAAACTTGAGTAAGATGCCCATGAGTTGCCCATTCCTGCCTCAGGAAGTGTGTGCTGACAACTGCTCTTTTGTGGTGGCACATGGTAGCCCAAGCCATCTGGGGGCCTGTGGTTTGGGATGAGCAGAACTCCAGCACTCCAGACAGAGCTGGGTTGTTTGTGGCTGGTTGAGCTGAGCAGCCTGCTGTCTGGCTAGGGAAAGTCGGTGTCAGTCTTGCCTGCTCAGGTGAAGGTATATATGCGCACCCGTGTGTCTGTGCCCAGCTTTTTGGTCTCTCTCCTCCCAGAAGAGTCCAGAGAATTCTGAGATGGTCTCTGAGCTGGGCCCTGTCAGTGCTTTTTCCAGCCCTGTGAGTGTACATGGGTCTGTCTTCCAAGGAAAGTCACTCTGGCACCCTGCCTACTTTCATCCTGGCTTCAGATCTCTTATTCACGAGGACCGTGGAAGCATTTGGAGATCCTCTGGGGAGAGCCATTTACGCTGTTGTGGATGACCAAGGCATTAGGCTTATGCATTAGGTTCTTTTTTGCACTAGAAGGCAGAGACCTCTGACTTTGGCCAGGCCTCACTCCTACCCACCACTCATACGCTCTATGGCCAACAGGCTGAGATGGTCATGGGCTGCTTAGAGCCCCTGCTAGATTCTTGCTGTTTTGCTTTCTATAGGGGTGTCATGGTTATGCTTACTGATAAAATTTACACAGTACTGTATAGTTTTTTGGAGTCCTGGTGGCGCAGTGGTTAAGAGCTTGGCTGCTAACCAAAAGGCCAACAGTTCGAATCCACCAGCTGCTCCTTGGAAACCCTATGGGGCAGTTCTGCTCTGTCCTGTAGGGTTGCTCTGAGTCGGAATTGACTCAACGGCAACGAGTTTAGGTTGTGTGTGTGTGGTTTTTTTTTTGTTTTTTTTTTTTTTAATGGTTTTTAAAGCATTTTACACACATTATCTCATTTGGTGCTCACACTGACTCTGCAAGATCAGGGGTAATTCTCCTGGAGCTGGTTTGGAGAAGTTCAGTTTCTTTGCCCTGAGCCCAGAGTGGAGATCTGCCCTCAGAGCCTGTGTTCTTTCTGTTTCGCTGCACTGTCTTACCCAAAATAGTTTCTGAGCTGAGGCCGGGGTGTGGAATAGATGCCTTTTTGCTTAAATTTTAATCATTGCAAATGAGGTGTAAAATAAAAACCTGTATATGAAGCTGTGGCCCACTTAGTACTTTCTTGCTATTTCCTTTTCATTTTCCCCACTGAGCATCCCAGTTCTATGTGGTTGAGCTCATTTCCCAGGCTTGTTCTTTCCCTCTTGGCAGCGTCAGAGCCTTCATTCAGCAGAGACTTGCCAAGCAGGGGCCAAAGGCTTGACCCTGGGCTTGTAGTGGTGGGTTAGACACGGCCCTGACCCTAGGGGGCTCCCAGCCCACACAGGGCTGGCACATTTATGCACCAGGACACAGTGTGCTATGTGCTGCTACAGGAGAGACACAGTCCCCCGGGACATCTCCCAGGACACGCAGGAGAGCCTCAGCCAGCTCCTTTGGGGCTGAGTACCAAGGAAGGGAATGCGTACCAAGAACCTGAATGCATTTGAGCCAGTGAGCTTGTTGTTTTCGACCCAGCCTTAGAAGGAAGTTTTGGGGCCTGAAAGATGGTAGGGAACCTGGAGAAGAGGGGAAAAGTACCTGCCTGCATCTAGAACAATGTTTTAATAACATAGAAGGGGCCTGGGAAACCTTGAAGCCAGAGTCACAAAAACATACCTCCATTTAAGGCATTTGGTCTTTTCAGTGACTGTTAGGCATGCTTACGACATGCTGCCAGCCACCCGGTCCTTGTGCCCCTGGAGCTTACGGCGTCTCTAACATGAGACCTTGGCTCAGTGCCAGAAAGGAGTGCAAGGCAAGGGCTGTTGGACATGTAAGGGGAAGAGCAGTTCATTCCCTGAGGGAGAAGCTGAGGAAAGAGTGGAGCCTCAGTGGAGAAAGAGCAGAGAAAGGGCCCTCTAGGCACTGGAGCCAGCCCCAGCCAAGGCAGGGATGGTGACTGTGCAGGTGTGTTTGGAGAAGGTTGGGCAAGCTCCTGGGCTGTGTGAACTGAGCCTTCCTTGGCCGCTGTGCTTGGGCTGCCCTGCTGTGGTCTGGGGAGAGGACACACTGAGCCCCATGCCCACCATGCAGTGGGGACTGGCGAGTGGGCCTGCTATAGGTGATAGACTCCCCATTGGGGTGTCAGAAGTTGTGGTGGGAGACCCACACTTCTTCCCCTTCATGTCAGATGGTGCCTGAGGCGAAACAGCAGGGCAGGGGTGGACCTGAAGAGAGTTCACCGACCCACTCATGGACCACCTCCAGGCCCTGCCCTTGGCACTTTCCAAGCCCTGGCCCCAGAGGCACTCAGGCTACGCATTTTGTGAGCCATGGGCTAGCCAGTCTTTAAGCAGTGGCCCACAGTGAGGTCATAGGATGGCCCTCCCCACATCCACACTGCGCTCCCAGCGGGCCCAGGAGCCTGCTTCTGGAAGCCAGGGAGAGAAGTGCGCATCGGCAGTTCATGTCTTTTAGCACCAAAAACCGGGAGACCAGCATTTTGGACCAACTTTTGCAGCTCTCAGTGGGCTGTGCCCATTTTTTTCTTCTCCCTGAAGGATGTGTATTGTTCTCATTTGGCTGCCCAGCGTGACTTTGCCCATTGTGAAACTCAGCTTCCCTGTGTTTACGCCTCATCTCTTCAGAGGGACTGGGAGGAGGGTCAAGGGCGGATTTGCTGCCGCTCTCAGAGGCTGTCAGGCCACTCCGCCCCTCTCTGCTGCTGAGCAAACCCTGCCTCGGAGCACCCACTTGACCGTTCTCTTGGGAACAAGCACATATGGGAGAGGAACTGTTCGGGAGTCTAGAGCAGGCAGGAGGGTACCCTCAGGACTTTTTCACCAGACAGGGAGGGGATTAAGAACCCCCAGAGCTGAGTGTCTGGGGAAGTACACACAAGAAATGGGCCGAGTGGGTGCTCCAGGGAGGGAACAGTGAGGGGCTCCAGCTGGGGCTTAGGATGCAGGGGCAATTCATGCTTCACTGTCTACTTGTCTGTACTTTTTTTAGTTGTGTACTGAGAACAGACGTCACCAATATTAAAATATGTATGCATACAGAGGGAGAACGGGGAAATGGAGTGGCTGGTACTTGGCTTTCTGTGTGTCTCCCTCCATGCCCCTTTCATGTCTCCCCTATGAGTCGGAATCCACTCTGTGGCAATGGGTTTGGTTTTTTGTTTTGTTTTGTTTTCGTACCCTGTCCTGGCCCCCAGGGAGTCCCTGAAGCTGGGCCAGCATCTCTGAGATGTGCCCATTCCCCACATGTCCATGTTAGCAAGGCCTTGGAAATTGTGGAGGAGAGGGAGGGTGGAGACCAGTGTAAAGTCACCGCTCCTCTGAGCTAGGCCCAGGGGCTGTTCTCAGTGTTCCTTGTAACAACTCTGAACCTGAGGTTCAGAGTTTAGCCAGTTTGGCCAGAGTAGCTCAGCTAGGAAGTGGGCAGAGCCAGACCCGGGTGTGCTTTCCATCAAAGCTCACACTGCCTCTTTGGCAGCCCAGAGTTGGCCGTGAGCCCCGCCGTGGAGCACTCCTTTGGAGTGGTCTGCTTCCAGGCCCTGGGGTCCCAGGGAACATCTCACCTCCATACCTGGAAAAGCATGCCCTTTCCCTGTGAGCAGGTCTGCAAGAGCAATCCAGCACCATGTCTGAATACAGCCCTTCTCCTCTGAGCGGGGCCCTGCGGCCCAACCCTCCTCCAGAGCCTACCCACCATTGCCCCTTCAAAACCTGAGCTACAAAGACCTTGGTTATGGAGACTAGCAGAGGGAAAAGCTGGTATGAACTAAGGAACTTTTATCAAAGAAATCTAATTGTATTACTTCTAAGTTTGCATTTTTAGTATTTCAAACTGTTTATCCCCAGGGTAAAGTTAGGGAGCCTATTTTAATTAATTGAAAGAGGGAACAATTTTTGATGAGCACATCTGTTGGCAAATGGGCCCTTCTAACCTTCAGCTTTGGAAAGCAGTTGCCTTGAAGCTCCCGTTAACGTTGCGTTCTTGTTTCATGCTATTACTTTGCATTTTCCAAAAAGGGGAGGGAGGAGTTTGCTATCAAATAAGCTTGAAACCATCTCAGTCCAAAAATTACCCCGATAATAAGTTAGTGGTATGCAAATTAACAAGATTATCTGATCAACGCTTAAGCTCAAATGACTTTTCTGATTTTTTCCTGTTAAGTGGATGTTATCTTAGAGCTGAAGATTCTTGTAGGGGGGGCTTCCTGATGCCCTAGATAGCCTGCACTTGACCCAGCTCTGACGGAGCTCTCTTTCCTTCCTCTGACTCTCCAGAATGGAGGGGCCATACCCTCCCTGGTCGGGCCCTCAGGGTTTTGATCTTTGGGGGGAAATTAGGAGCTGCAGTTCTCTGTATCCCACCCCACTCTGTGAGGCTTTTTAAAACTACTTCTTCAGTCTGTTCTCTTCATAAACCAAATTCTAAACGTATGTTGCCTCAGGAACACAGCCTCTTTCTCAGCCTCGTCATTTCCATCCTAGCTATATGCTAAACAGTGACTGCACTCTGGGGATCCTGACCCTGCCTTGCCAGCCTCTTGCAACACACACCAGCAAAGCATGGTAGTGCCCCACAGAATGCCACTTCAGAGGATAGGACTGGAGAAGACAGGTTCTGTGTTTCTCTCTGGGCCCACCTGCCTCTCGCTGGTCTCCTAGCCAGCCCCCCAGCCTTCCAACTCCCTGACAGTACCCCTCAGAGTCTGGTCTGTGGGCTGTTTCAGCGTTTGTAAGCGGTGCATTCGGAAGATGGACCACCACTGTCCCTGGGTCAATAACTGTGTCGGCGAGAACAACCAGAAGTACTTCGTCCTATTTACAGTAAGTCAGCTTCCGAATTCTGCCCCTCCCTCCCTGAGACAATGGAATACTTGATTCCTTTGAAAGTTCTCAGCGCTCAGGGTGTTCTTTGTGCGGTTCAAAGTACTGCCAGGCCGTGTAGATCTCCACTTTCCTGCCAGAGATCTCCATGGCTCAACAAGTGCCTGTTCCTAAAGCCTTCACCTGAGCGTTTAGAAAATTCATTCGTGTTGATTAGCTATAAACAAGGGCTATGTTCTGGGCTATGTTCTGGGCTCCGATCCCAAGAATTGGACCTACGTAGCTAAAGAAGGCAGCTTTGCTGCTGTCCTCAAGCTCTCCATCACCTACAGGTAAATGGAGTATGTTTGGTGTTAGAGCCGGAAGGGCCATTGGCAGTCAGCACCCTGACTTTTCAAGTGAGGAGAAGCAACAGACCTGGAACAGCCGGGGGCAGCCCAGCCTGGCTGGAACCGGTCACCCCTGGTGACCAGGCTTTGCTGCCTTGTTGTCCTCACACTCCGGTGAATGGCTGCTCACCACAGGCCCCAGGGCTGGAGGGATCACCCGATGCCTGTCTGGCCTCCGCCTCCTGGTCAGGCCTCAGCCAACTATGACTTAAATGGTCCTGGGTGGGAGGTTCTGAGCGTGCTAGTCAGAAGGTCCTGGCAACAATGGTGTCTGTACTGCTTTCCTGTTTCAGATGTACATAGCTCTCATTTCCTTGCACGCTCTCATCATGGTGGGATTCCACTTCCTGCATTGTTTTGAAGAAGATTGGACAAGTGAGTATGCACCAGGGACCCCTCCCACCCCATGGTGGGTGTGGCCCAAGTGGGAGGTGGGTACTTTGCTCCCTTCATGGTGCCAGGGGCCAACCTCATTTTACTAGATCTCCTGCAGGCCTATGGAATGACCAGGGAAGAAACAGCAGAGGCTCTACTCTCTCCTCCTGAAAAAGAGCAGGCCCTTAAAGTCAGTTCCTCAGGTAAGGTAGTGAGTGGGACAGCGTGCCCAGGAGAATGCAGGCCCCATACAACGAGATGAGCTCCAGGGAGTAGGAGCCGTGCTGGGAGAGGAGAACTTTTGTTTCTGGGTCTTTAAATGAAACACTTTAATCAGAGGTCATTTTATTCCAATCTTGCAGAGATCCCATTGTTAATTTTCTGGCTAGGACATAGAGTTTTCTTATTTGTGTTTTGTGGTGGTTGTTTTTTAACTGCTTATTTTGATACAAGTAGTCCCCAACTTACGACGGGGTTCCGTTCCGATGACTCCGTCGTAAGTTGATTCTGTTGTAAGTTGAATATCTTTTTTTTTTTTAATAAGTTTTCATTATTATTGCCTTTTATCATCAGTATCTTTATAAATCCGATCTTTCTTTGTCTTTGGGGGTTGGAAACATTAAATATAAACATCTGAGAATGATAACATCAGCAAATTACGCACTGTGACATTGTATGTCGTACGTATTACTAATGATAAGACGTGCAAAAAAAAAAAAAGAACAGACGGTCGTAAGTGCAGTTCATTGTAACTTGAATACATTGTAAGCTGGGACTACCTGTTCTTCCTGCTTTAAAAGTATCCCATTTAAATGAGCAAATGCTGAGTAACTCTAACCAGGAGATTGCCCAAATCCTGAGGGAAAAAAACAAATAAGGTCACTAAGAGTCAGAATCGACTGGCAATGGGTTTGGTTAGTTTTGGTATAGATAAGAGAGGCCACCTGCTGGGCTAGATTTTTCACGCACATACACGGTCTACGAGACAAGGATCTTAAGTACAAACATATTTCCACTGTGTTTCCCTTGATGGGTCCCCTTTCTCATTTTGGCATCTTTTAGAAGTTTTCCTCTCCTGCACGTGCTGACTTCTCAAGAAATTTCTTGCTATTGTTTTTCTCTAGAACTGTTGAGACTGGAAAAAGGGTAGACTCTTTAGCTCCCACTTAGACAGTACGAGGCTGTTCCTGCCTGTGTGCATAGTTTCCACTTGCCCAGTTCTAGTCTACCTGTCCCTGCCCCCCAGCTCTGCCTGGCTTGACGTCACCTAGGAGAGAGAAACCCATGTCTCCCTGTTTTTATACCGCACTTCTGGCACGAGCTGGAGAGGGGCTCACGCTAGTGGCTGGAAGGGTAAGGGAGAGTGGGTTTCTGTACATTGTACTGTTCTACATAGCTGGGTGGGTCACTAGCAAGTTCCCCATTCCCTTGGCGAGCATTCTGTAAGTCCACACATTCTGCTAGGCCCTTAGAATCCAGTTCAACTCCAGATGTGACTTTGGCGACTTGGTAGGGGAATCTGACAAGGACATTTTGTCATCACAAAGCACCCATGGATCGTCAGGTGGCAGAGTAACACAGACCGCCAGTGAAGCAGAATGTCTCTGTCTTTGGAATGGTGCTGGCAAGGCCATTTTACTATGTGCCAGGCTTGGTACAAAGGGCTTTATGAGCAGTATCTTGTTTCCACCTTACAACAAGCCTGTGGGGTAGGAGAGATGCTGCCCACTTTGCAGATGACAAAAATGGGCTCAGAGTCGAGCAAATTCCCCAAGGTCACACAGCTAGGAAGAGGGCCTGTGATCCAAACCTGGGTCTGGAGATGGGACTTCACCCCTGCCTGGCTGACTCCAACTCCCAGGGTCTTCTCAGCTCTGCTCTTGATTGTCCTTGGTCAGGATTGCAGAGGAGTGGGTGTAAAGCACCCTGCTCCCGTGGCAGCTAGGCTGGAAAGCACAGGAGAGGCCCCAGAGCAGGAGCGTGAGGGTTGACTGTATGTGAAATTTAAAACCATCACTCTCAGCCCTGGTCAGGCATAGGACCTTGTGTAATGGGGGGCAGGGTGCCATCCCCCAGGATGAAGGCACTTCGAGTTAAAGTTTAAAGAAGGGTAGGGAGGGAGTTCCACATCTCCATGGATCTGGTCCTGCCTCCCCAAACTCCAAGGAGGCCAGCCCAGGAGGGGAACAGTGCTTGCAACTGCACAAGGATCGAGACCAAGCCGCTGAGCTTGGCCCCCAGCTACAGGGAAGCCCTAGGAGGGGGCAAGGCACCTCCATTCACTGGGCATCTCCTCTGTGCCAGTGCTGTGCCTAGGCCTAGCTTTGCATATGTAATCTTACGACTCCTCAAGAGGTAGCTACAAGTGTTCCTACTTTGCAGAAGGGAAAAGGAAAGCTCAGGGAGCCCAAACCTCTTGCCCAGATTCTTTTGTTGTCATGTACTGTTCCAAGGCTAGGTGTACAGCAGTGAGCAAAACAAAGTCCCTACCCTCATGGAGCTTGAAGTGTAGTGAGCGAGGCAGGTCTCAAGTAAGTCCAGAAAGAAACAGGTCATTACAATGCAAGGTGGAGGAAAGACACAGGAGCCAAACAGAATATTAGTGGGGGCATTTTAGAGTGTGTGATCCGGAGTTGGTGCCAGGGTTTGAGCCCCCTCCATGTCTGCCTGATTTCAGAGCCCTAATTCTTCCCACCACCCCGCCCAGACCCAGAGGCCAGGCAGGCAGCTACCTCGCTGTAGCCACCCAGGGCTGGCAATAGGGCTGCTGGGCCACCCCAGCCTAGCTCTGCCCAGCAAGGAGCCAAGAAGAGGAATTATCTCGAGGCTCTGCTAAGTTCCAAAGGACACGTGAGGAGATAACAGCGTTTTAGATGAGCTGTTCCTTACCCTGCTACCCGTACAGTGTTCGGTGTCTTCCTGGCCATTCCCAGATTTGACCTCCCTTGCTCCTCCTGACGTTCCTGGCAGGGAGCAGCAGGCCAACTCAGAGGGTCACTTACTCACTGCAGTCCCAAAGCCCAGGGGAGCCCAGCTCTGCCCTCCGGGATCTGACCTCTCCAGCAGGAAACAGGCCTGAGCTCTGGAGCACATGAATCCCAGCCAGGCTCGACCAGCACAGGCAACAGTGCTCAAGGGGATGAGAGTCCTTGGGCAGTGAGTGCCAGACAAGAGGCATAGAGGACGCTGCCAGTGCCATCCGTGGGCCACATGGCCCACATTTCCCCAGGGGTTCCTGAGAGGCCACCTTGATGGCAGAGTGTGAGAGGGGGGCTCCCCACTCTTCACCCACCATCTTTCGCCACAGTGCCTCTGCCTTTCTACTCAGTGGGTGAGTTTCAGTGTATATTTTGTTTCAACAGAGGATTCTGCTACTTAAAACAAAGCCACACATCTAGTCAGACCTCACTGTGTCACAGTAGAGGGAGTGGAGGCCCAGGTAGGGGCAAGGACCTGCTTCAGATCAAACCTCAGGTTGGGGGGCTTGGGTAGTCAGAAGGGCTCTTGGGTGGGGGCAGGAGAGAGAAGGCACCTACTGTGGGCTTACTTTTCAGTTGGCCTTCAGCCCTTGGGACTGACTATCCCAGGGCTACAGAAGCTTCTGGAGATTATGTGGCCCCCGGGTCAGGGCTGAGCCCTGGTGGTTAACTGCCCTCTGCTGAACTTTGAACCCTAGAGCCACTGAGTGGTCCTCCAGACCTGCCCTTTCCTCTCATCCATGAGCAGAGGGAGGTACAGAAGGGGTAGCAGGAGTACCCAGAAACTGGTGGCCTCTCCACCTGTGCAGCCTGCGTTGCTCTTTCTGAGGAGAGACGAGTCTCCCTGGGGTGTTGTCAGGCCTTCTTCACACCTCAGTTCAGTCATTGCAGACTCCTTCCGTGTGCCAAGCACTGTGCTTGACATCAGATGCACACATCACACTGTGGCAGGGAAAAGAGCCAGTGAGCCACGACTGATGAGTGGGGGAAGGGGAAGCCCTGGGAAAGACTGGCCTAGTCGAGGAGGGCTTCCTGGAGGGAGTGCTATTGCAGCCAGGCCCAGGGTAAAAGGAGCCAGGTGTGGAGCAGAGATACGTGGCACCATGAGGAGCCGAGCAGTCCTGCAGGGCTGGAGGCAGAGTGGGCACCCTGGCAGGGCTGGGAGCCTGGGCCCAGGGGGCGATGGGGATGGACAGTGGGTGGTGGCTGGTGGCCCGAGCCCGTGTGTCCTTCTTTTTCAGAGTGCAGCTCCTTCTCTCCACCCACCACGGTGATCCTTCTCATCCTGCTGTGCTTTGAGGGGCTGCTCTTTCTCATATTCACGTCAGTGATGTTTGGGACACAGGTGCACTCAATCTGCACGGATGAGACGGTAAGCAGGAGCACGCCCCACCACCTCTGCACCTGGGGCTGGGGAAGAAACCGGCCTGCAGGCCAGACCTCAGAGCCCAGTAGACAAGCCCCGGGGGGCAGGCTCACATCATGCACTTGCAGCAGCCCTTAGATCTTCTTCACACGCATGCGTCCCCCACTCTTGGAGCAGGCACAACAGATCACATCAGGAACAGGGCCCAGCTGCCTGCTGGAAGGTCCCTTCGCCTCGATTCCAGCCGTCCTCCTATGACGGTTCTTTCCTGCATGCCACACATGGCCAGGCACTCAGTAGGCGCTGGGGGCCTCTTTCCTTCTGGAAATCACAGCCTAGAGATAGAGTGGCCTGCAAAGGGTGCCCTCACCTTGCTGGGACAGGCGGGGGCACCTTCCCAGAGGAGGTGACTTCATGACTAGCACCTGAGGGCAGTGTGAGGTGACGGGAGCCGTGAGCCCCCCAGAGCAGTGAGCAGCAAGCTCTTGCCTGGCCTCTGGGTCATCTGTGCTTGGCAGCTCTGGGCCTTGTCTGGTGCCTTCTCCCCATCCCCACCTGCACCCTCTTACCCTACCTGCTGCTCCCTCTCAGGAGCCTTGAAGCTGCTGGCCGGGCTGGGCTGGAGCCTGCTCCCCTGCCACCTCTGCCACGCCCCCACCCCCTCCTTCCTGAGGTGTCCAAAAGCCTTGAGGTGGCCAATCCATGGCAATGATGTAGGCATCTATTCCTTTTTGGCTTTGGGGTCCAGATAAGGGGCCTCGGGAGGATGGGGCAGCTCTTAGCTCTGGGTGGGAGGAATGGCGGCATAATTCCATCCTTGCATTGCTTCTGGCTGCTTTCTGAGGTCCCCCTCAGGCTGGCAGCTCTCAGCAGTGGTCTTGGGACCCTGGGTGGAGCTTTGGGGCATGTTGGGTAGTCAGCCTAGATGGAGGTTCATAGGAGGGAAAAGCTGTTACCACAGGCTGCTGAGACCTTACCCCTGCCCCCTACCAAAAGCAGAGAAGAGAAGGGACAGCGCTGCCCCACTGCCCACCGTCTGAATCTGTGGGGACTCCCAACAGTTTAGAGGGTTGGAGGACTCTCAGCAACTTTTTTCTAAGAAATAATGTCACTGCATAAGAGTTTCTGTGAAAATAGAGCCACTGGTATAGATCCAGCCATTTATCTGAGCAGTAAATGTGACCAACTTCTCTACGTACGACCTGCAAGGACCCTAAAGTGACCCTGCCTGGTCCCACCCACTGTTGGGATGCTGCCAGGCCACCTAGGCCATGGTCTGGGGGAGCCAGAAGGAAAACTCTAACAGCCCTGGTCCTAGTTGTTCTTCCCCCTTAAGACCATTCCTAAAGGGAATTGTGTTGGAAAGGAAGGAAGGGCTGGCAGCTCCTGGGAAAGGCCATCCACCCCTTGACCTGTATCCTCCCAGGTCCCCAGGCTCTGAAGAAAGACTCAAACTGGATGTCCCCCCACCCCGCCCCAGGCCCCATCTCTGCTTCTCGGGGGAACTGCTTTGAGCAGGGCTTCCATCTGGTTCCTTCCGGTTCAGATTCCTGCTGAGAATTTACATTTCTAACAAGTTCCCAGGCGATGCTAATACTGCTGGTAAGAGACCAGTTCTGAGAACCACCAGTAGAGCAGTGGTTCTCAAAATTTATTATACATAAGAATCACCTGGGAATCTTGTTTAAAATGTAGATTCTGATTCAGTATATCTGGGGTAGAAATGCAAATTCTCAGCAGGGGTTCAAACCAGAACAAACTGGTTCGAAGCCCTGGCTTGGAGGGGAGGCCTCGGCAGCCCCAGGCCCCCACCTTACCAGAGACCACAGCAGACAGGCCCCATCTGAAAAAGGGAAACGGGGAGGGACCAGCTTTTCCCCCAGCCCCTACTTTTGCCTCTGGAACTTAGCGGGGAGGAGGTGCAGGCCCTGCAACAGCTGCTGTGGTGGCCACCTTCATACTTCTCCCCAAAGGAGCATGAGGACGACCTTTGCCGTGACTGAGGCTGACTGGTCTGTCCCTGCAGCCCTCTAACCTATACTAACCGCTCCTCCTCCTTCCTCTGTGGTGACTTCCCTCGCTCACCCAGTCTCTCGCCCTGTTCCACCTTCTCAGTTGGTGTCTCTCCAGTTCCACTCTCCCGACTGGCAGGACTAATGGCGTCAGAGCAGTTATTTGATTTGTTCTTTTTTTTTTTTTGTCTGCAAAGTGGTCATGGTAGCTTCAAACTTCCTCTGAACCTCTCAGGTACATGATTGTAAGCTCCTCACCCGCTAAGAAGGCTTCTCGCGCACACCAAAGCCTTCACAGCCCTCCCTCGGCGCACACCACCCAACACCAGGCCAGGAGCACCTGTGTAGAACCCCAGTGAGGACCGAGTCTGTGTAGAAGTGCTCCTTACCTCAGACACACCAGATCAGAGTCATAGGAACAATGGCTGAGGCACCTGCTGACTTTGCTTCTTTTTTCCTCCCTTCTCTGAGGGACTTGTAAACATATGCCCACCAAAGAAAAGTTATTTCTTAAAATAACTTTTTTTAATTAAAAAGAGAAGAAAAAGTCTTATTTAGATAGCTTTAAAGGTCGCTTGAAAAAGGAGGCATTTACACATTTACCTCAAGCTGATGGACCTCCCTCCCCAAAAAACACCACAGCAGAAAAGTGCTTGACTGAAAGTATGATTGTTCTTGTTTTCAGGGAATAGAACAATTGAAAAAGGAAGAGAGAAGATGGGCTAAAAAAACAAAATGGATGAACATGAAAGCCGTTTTTGGCCACCCCTTCTCCTTAGGCTGGGCCAGCCCCTTTGCCACGCCAGACCAAGGGAAGGCAGACCCGTACCAGTATGTGGTCTGAAGGACCCTGACCAGCATTGCCACTCAGACACAAACCACATCACAGCACTACCGTCCGGCCCGTTCTCATGAACGTTTAAACCGAGAAAGCAACTACTCTCAAACTTTTCTTTTTTTAATGCAGTAAAATGGCTGAGCATTGCAGAGAAAAAAAAAAAAAAAGTCCCTGTTTTATTTTTAAAAGATCATCCTCTCTATTTTTTTGGTGACTGAAGCTGCTCTTGTTCCTTTTTAAAATTACTTCTCTGGCCTCTGGTTTCCTCTCTACTGTCTGTCTGGCGTGACTAACGTGGAGGGGTGCTGTCTCCGGGGCTGTGCCCACCTCTACTAACCGAGTGAGACGTGAGTGACGCTGGTGGTGGAGGGACCGGCCCCGGATGCCTGGTTGGGGACCTGTAGGAGAGCCAGGAGGGCCTGTGACATCCCCCTGCCCAGAAGGCAGCGGCAGGCTCCCCAGATGGGAATTTAAATCTCAACGAAGACGGACACTTAACCCCTTGAGGCCTGAGCAGGGCAGCATCAGGGCTGGAGACTTCAGAAGGGCCTTGACAAGCAGCCTCACCCCCGAGTGGACACGGTTTGCCTCCTTAATCCGTGAAATCAATTGCCTGCCTTGTACCTTGTGGGCTTGGGGTGTGTAGAATGATTGGGGGTGGGGGGTGGGATGTGGGGCAAAGATTAAAGGGGTCTTAATTTGTATTCTGGATCAGCAAATATATTCCCTCTGATTGTTTGGAAAACTGTGAAGGAAAGAAATTTTTCCAGTTTCAGATGCCTTACACCATCAAAAAATTACGCCATTTCAGGCAAGCTACATTGTCCTTTGCTACAGCTGCTTACTCTCTTACCTCCCCTTGCTCAGCAAGATGCCAGTTCAGCAGTGATAATGCTGACGGGACGAAACGGGCGCCACACCAGCCACAACCTCGCCGTCAGGAAGGTCGACCCCTTCTTCCTAGTTCTGTAAATCTCTAAAGTGGGTTCACTTTCTGATACTTGAGATCCATAAATGTGCACATACTCGTGTACACATTTCTTTTAACCTGGGAGGCTGCTGTGGGGCTGGCGCGCGTGCCTGCCTGTCGCCGACCATCATGTGGGGGCACGTGATGGCGCCAAGGCTGGAGTAGCGTTTTCCATTTGGGAGGGGCTTGTGTTTAGTCTCATTTGAAAGAGGTGGTGAACAGCTGGGGTTAGATAGTAAGAGTAGGTGGGAGTACCCTTCCTATGTAAAAATGACAGGAATCTGAATACTGACCATCTGTGAATTCTTATACTTGGATTTGATTTTTAAAGCAGTTGCCACAAACCTTTTTCAGCTTTTGTTTGGGGTAGGGGTGGGAGCTAAGGTTTAGTAAATCCAGTCTTTGGGTAGGAAGAAAGTTGACCTAGCCATGTGTTTTTTGTTTTTTTTGTTTTGTTTTGTTTTGTTTTCAGAAAAGTAAGTGGAATATGCTGCATCTTTTCAATTTCTGTCAGTGCTTCCACATGGACACAAAATACAATAAAACTTTTCCAAAACCTGTTCAGATCTAGCTCTGCTCTCTGGCAGTGTGATGCTGAGGGGCGAGCAGATTGTCCACCGTCGATGAGTTTTCTGTTGGTTCTGTTATTTTTAAACTACACTGATGCTCCCTCTCTTAGTGAGGTTTTGTTGTTGTTGTTTGTAAAGAACGTTCATCCCTGTCTTTTGAACAAGCTTGCCCCACCAGGCCCCTCTCCTTTGACTTTCTGCCACCGAAATTGCTTCTCTTGTGTTGCTGGTTTCTCAGTTGCTACAGAAAAAGTCATCTGCCGGCTGAGTTTGCTCTTCGCATCTGGTTGGAGAGGAGACCCTTCTTCCTCTGACCACATAACAAAAAGCAGTCCAGCCAGAGGAAATCACAGAAGTCATCCACGCGCAATTCTGACGCATTGCTTTGTGAAGCTGAGGAAGTCACCCCTCAGATGTTTAACCAAAGAACCTTTACTTGCCTCTACCGTGTTATTTATGCTGAAGTCAAGCCTGAGAGCCGAAGTTTTTTAAAAATGCTATTTTTAGATCTAGTTTGTAGCATTTGTTCTCCACATGACTTTTTTTTTAAATTTGCAGTCTGCTTAGGTGTATCAGAGAAGTGTGGTGTGTTGGAGACTCCAGAGCGGTTTGGAAGGCTCTGGCCCTGCTCCCGCCCCTCACGGGTGATCCCTCGGTAGGCACCGCTGCAGCTCTGGTCCTCCTGCTGAGAAAGGCAGACTGGGGCCCAGGAAAGATTTTTTTAAGTATTTGAATGCACTCGAAATACTCCATCTTCAGGGCATTTTTTTTTTAAGTGACCCTGGTTGGTTCTTTTCTCTGTGGAATTTTTAAGGAATACAGTAAATAGTGCTGAAAATATACTGAACCTTTTTTTTTTTGAGTCCTAAAAATAGAAACTCATCATTTAGACCTGAGCATACTATGTCTGTCTTTCCCAGAGAGAAAGGCTCCTTTGGACATCCTGTACGATTCTACCTCTGGGTTTTTACGTGCCTTTTGGCTGGAAAGAATGACTGTTCTCCAGATCTCAAGCCAGAATGAAATGCTGCACTCATCGAAGAGAGAAATAACCCAGGGTTCCCTGTGTCTTTCCTATTTCATTTTCCTTGAGACTGATCACATTTTGCCAAGAGCACGATGATGAACATGGCTGTCGTTTGCAGCATAGCGATTGGTTCCCAGACTGGCGGCCACATAGAAAGATGGAGGGGTCCGTGAGCTCTCCTCAGTATTTCCAGACGTCTAATGAAAGATGACATTCCTGATGGGGCAGTGGTTAAGAGCTACAGCTGCTAACCAAAAGCTTGGCAGTTCAAGTCCACCAGCCGCTTCTTGGAAACCCTACGAGGCATGTCTTCTCTTTCCTGTAGGGTCGCTATGAGCCGGAATCAACTCGACGGTAACAGGTTAATGAAAGATGACATCTCTCTACACAAAGGCAGCCCCAGCTTTTTGCTTTGGCACTTGAGTTCTGACAGCAGCGAATGGGACCCTCCTGTGAAAATGAACTAGTAGCAGCCACAGGCTTCCAGAGCATGGGTCTGGGGAGTGGAGGTGAAAAGTGAAGAGGAAGGTGATGTAGCGTGCGGATTAGGTGATCCCCAGATTCCTCTCTGCCTGTGAACTTCAGCTCGGTGTTACAGCAACCAGACAGGACATGCAAAATGCTCAGGTCCAAACAAATCTATGAGTATTTGCACGGGCACAGTGACATCCAGCACAGAGTGAATTTGGATAGAAATGCATGTGCTAAGTCTCCTTTAGTCTTTCCATTTCATCTTTGTAACACTTCCTTCTTAGAAGAGCCCAAAGCAAGGCACTTTGTATTACCACCTTTTTGCTCATTCTGATTAGGCCAGTTAATTAAAATCTGCCATCCTGATGCAAAACAGAAATGTTTCAGATAAGGCAAATTAACAGACACTTACTAAACCCCTCAGACAGAAACCTCTCTCTTCGGGAGGCCAGGCTGTGCCCTTCCATCCAGGTTAACGGGTTTTAGCTTTCTCTCATCTCAAAGCTTGCAGTGCATCGGTTTAAAGGAGGAGCTAGCCAGTAGAGGCAAGGGGCCCCAACCTAGACAGGACCCTTAAACATCAAAGAAATGTGAAGAGAAGAAGATTTTGCTAGAATCCCTCTCAAGGACCCTGTAGTCATGGTTGGAAAGAATACTGAGCCAGAGGATCGTGAGGTGAGGTTCCCAGACCAGCAGCATCAGCATCACCTGGGAACTTGTCGGAAATGCACATTCTCTGGCCCCACCAGCGACCTACAGAATCAGAAACTCAGAGTGGGGCCCAGCAATCTGTATTTTTACAGCCCTCCAGGGGATTCTGATGCACACTCAAGTTTGAGAATCCACTTGGGGATTGCAGGAGTTGCCTACAGGTGATCCCTGGTGCCTGCTGATGGTCGTGTGTACCGGGCACAGCGTGGTGCTGAGTGAGTGTGCGATTGTGAGGCTGGCCAGTGTTCCCACCACTAGATAAGCCACAGGGCCCTTCCCCTCATAGCCCACAGCGTCCCCAGTAAATGAAGGCTGAGAAAATGAGGAAGTCTGTTTGAAGGGGAGCCTGATTATTTGTCTGCTCAGCACTCCTTCCTGTGCATCTCATCTGTCTGACCCGTTTCTGGACCCACGTGCTCACTGGGTGAAGAACCATCCCAAAGGAAGTGGGAAAAGGTGGGGCCGAAGGCCTCCAGGTGGGAAGACGGCCACTGAGTAACCTGGACCCAGGGGCGTTTTGTCAGCGCAAACACATGAGCATGTCCTGGCCCTCGGCTCCTCTCTGTGGGCCTCAGCACCCACATGGCCTTTTCTGGTATCTTTCAATACTTATCAGACCCCAAGAATCACCTCAAACATGATTAAAGAATTTATAGTGAAACGGAAGTAAACCGCTGACCGGCCTACTGTCACAGACTGAAGCCTTCATTTCCCTACTCTCTCCTCCAAGAAAAAAATCATTGATGGCTTGAACAGTATACATACCCTAGCATAGCAAAGGGGGGCCCCAGGGGACCCCTCTCCACGTCGCACACTCACACAAGGAGCCATTGAAGCTGATCCAGGTAATAATGAAAAGCATCGCAGAGTCGTGTTTGCCAAAAACCTTCTGGGGAAGGGACGTGCTCTAATGCAGATATAAAAGATGCCCTGATTTCTGCAAGTGAGCTAGCATAGTCTGGTGGTTAAGCGTGTGGGCCCTGCTCGGCTACTTACCGCCTGTGTGACCTTGGGCATTAACTTCCCTAAGCCTCAGCTTTCTCAGCTGTAAAATTGGGATGATCATCTAAATCACAAGGTTGATGTGAGGAATAATCAAGATAAATGGATGTAAATGTTAGTACAGTGTCTGGCACGTGGTAGGGCTTCTGTAAATGTTAACTCTTGTTATCCAGAGCTGTGCTTCTCAAACCACGGGTCACAACTGTTCATGATCTGTAAAATCAATTTATTGGTTTGCAACCAGCATTTTTTAAAATAAATTTTAAAAAAAATCATTACACATTGCAGGTAAAGCATTATTTCATGAAATGTGCACATTCACACACACATGCACTAGGTTGCAACAGGAAATTACTTCCTATTGTGGGCTGTTATAAAAAAAAGTGTGAAGCCACTGATTAAAAGGGACTGCCTTGTCTGGCCAGGTACAACAAGGGCCTGTTTGCAGGGCTGCAGCATGAGGCTCTGACTTCTGATGAGGTAGGACGAAGGGGGACAGCCTGCTCTTGCTCTGGGAGGTCTCAGCTGAGCCCACGCAGAGCATCTGTTTGGGTCTCTGCCTCCCTCGGAAGCCTTAGTCCTGGTGCATTCATTTGAGGCGTTGGTGGGTTCATTCACAGATCACAGCTCTTGTGTCACCCAGGCGGAAGAGGCCCAAAAGGCCCAAGTCACACACCCCACGCAAGAGGTACAGATTTAAGCTGTTGCCACCTCACCAAGAATCAACCATTCTTGCTCTCTTGAGCCTGAAGTGGGTATCACTGCTGCCTCTGCAAACCTTGAGTTTACCTTTGCCTTCAGGACACCTTTCAATCCACACAAAACTCGAAATTGATTCCTACCAACAAAAAGAAGCCCCACTGGCAGCCCCTGAACATGAGAATCCAGACGCTCAGACCTTTGTATAAGATTCCTTTGGAATATTTTCTTCTTTCCAGACTCAGAGTTGACACTCCTTGAACACACTTGTCCACTTAACTGTGGATAGCCCCAGGTTCTATCTTGAAAATTTTTATAAGCTTATTGAGATTGAGTGTAATCTGAGAGTCCTCTTCTTGGAACATGCCACCCTAGTGGAAAATAGTAATCCTGTGGGTTCTTTTGCTTCATTCCCTTCTACAGATTTTCTCTGCTTTGAGAGCAGTATGGGCAGAGTTGGGATTTGCTGCAGAATTGGAAATGCAGAGAGAAGGCACCGGTTCTACTCCCAGTTCTGATGCATGACCAGTCGGACTGTCATGGCCTCCCAGAACCTTTGTTTCCCCATCTGCCAAGGGTCAATACTAACACCCACCTCTTCACAGGGTGGCCATGAGGACCCACCGTCATGGCTTTGAATGAGCCCAAGTCAGTGTATAAATAGCCAAGCAGCCCCTTCTGGGTGTCCCCTCTGTAGGAACTGGCCACATGTTGACATCTACCTCCCCTGCCATCAAGGTTAACCATCAAGGTTAAAGTGCCCCTCTTGACAGGCTGCAGCTGGTCACCCAGGAGGGGAATGCAAGAACACCTCAGTTGGCCATTGCTGCTTCTGCTAAGAAGGGAAGCCCGGCAAGAAGCCAGCTGGGAGCTCAGCCTCCATGCCCAGGTCCTATATGAGGCTCCCTCAAGACTTGTGTCAACCATGTCCATTTTCTGAAAGAACTTTTTCTGATAATAGAAGTTAACACCTGCTCATTGTAGGAAACTTGGAACTTGTCGAAAGTCTACAGAAGTAAATGCAAATCACCTAAAACCCCGTCCCTGAAGATAACCACGGGTCCCATGATGATGTTATGTGAAACTTTTGG